TTTCCCGGACCCAGAAGGATGACCTTCCTGTGTACTTGCATATTTCACCTCTATTATCACACTTTCCATAGGAAACTGTAATCACCACTAACCCTGGCAGCATAATCCCATACCCTGATTAACCAGACTTCTTGTTCTCAAGAAACAGAGGCTAATTCTGGCTGATTGTGGAAATGGACTATTAATAAAAGGATTCTTGACAGTCCATGTAAGTGTTGGAAGATTAGAAAAATGCTAAGTTGTCAGGAACTAAACCCTTAAACCACACTCAGAACGTGTCCGATGAGGCATTTTGATGCTGCATCCAAAATGTGTTTCTATTCCAAGGGTCAGACTCTAAGACCACAGCCACTGAGAGACTAGGTAGTTCTGATGACACCCTCCCCAGCAGAATGGATTCTCCATGGACTTCCTTTTTCCAGTTAATCTCTTGTGAATTGAAGAATATGAGAGTATGGAAGCCAAGAGAAGAGAGCAATTCAAGAAGGGAAAAATGATCTGTGATGTTAAAGGTTGCAGAAAGAATGATCAAAAGCCAAGGATTGGAAATTGTCCATTGATTTACCTAAAAGAGGCTTTTAATTTCCTTGGTGAGAACGGGTTTGATTGAAGGGAGTGGTAGTCAATTGAGAAGTGAAAGGCAGAAAATTCTTTTCATAATCTTAACTTGAAGAGATTCTTGTTGATCATATCTGAAGGAACTTAACAGTCCAAACGATGATAGTAATTTATTGTAGACCACTGAATAATGAGTCCATATTGACACAGATGAATGAACCAATAAATAAATTAGGATTGCTTTATTACAGTAGAATGACAACTAACACTGACATGTAGAAGGAGTAATGGAATGAGAAGAATCACCATTTGCAACTATCAAAGTAATAATAGTTTTAGGGGGAAAAAAAGGTTGCTTAAACTGGTAGATAAAAGCTCAAGAAGGAACATGATGTCTACATACTCTCAAATGTATTCCCATTAATTACTTGCTAATTGCAAAGGGAGATCTAGTGGAACCACTTTAGCCATTAATCAAAGTAACATCATCAATATTAGAGCAAAATTGGCACCATATAGTTCCTGAGCTGAATTGAAATGCTACATCACTCTTGTGGTGTTCCAAGAGCACATAACTTGAAATTAATTACTAGAGACTTCAGAAATACTCCCAGTAGGGACTTTCTATGAAATAATGCCATGTATGCTCCAAAAGAAAGACCAAGAAAAGAAAAGCAGCAGATTAAAGGAGATGACAGGGAAATGAAAAATTAATGCCCGATGGAATATTACTCAGTCATAAGGAAGAATGAAATTATGGCATTTTCAGGTAAATGAATGGAACTGGAGGTTATCATGCTAAGTGTAACAAGCCAATACCCAAAACCAAAGGCTGAATGTTCTCTCTAATATGCGGATGCTGACTCCCAAAGGGGGGTGGGGTGGGGGTGTGTAAATTCACCAGATTGGATGGGGGAGTAGGGAGAGGAATGGGGGGAAGGGTGGGGGATAGGAATGGGAAAGACAGTAGAATGAATTGGACATAACTTTCCTACGTTCATATATTAATACATGACCAGTAAACTCCACATCATGTATAACCACAAGAATGGGAAGTTATACTTGACGTATGTATATGTCAAAATACATTCTACTGTCATGTATAACTAAAAAGAACAAATAAAAATATTTTAAAATTTAAAAAATAAAATAAAAAAGAAAGAACATCTTTTTACCATATGACAAAAAAAAAAGAAAAAGAAGAAGAAAACTAAATGTTGTCTGGGTTTGGATTCTGATCCTGGAAAAACAATATCTATGGGGAACATTATTGGGATAACTTACTAAATTTGATATAGACTAGATATGAGATAATCCATATTAAGTTTCCTGAATTTGATCATTATACTCTGGCTATTGAAGAAAATATGCTTGTTTTCGGGAGAGTCACTCTGAAGTACTTAGGGGAGAAGAGGAATGATATATGTAACTTTCTCTCAAATGGCTCAAAAAATGAAATGCTGAAAAGAATACTGAATGTTGAGGGTGTGAAAACAAGGCTTTGGGGTGGGTTTCAGAGTAGACTGTAGAAAGAATTTAACTTATTTAACTTAGTAGAATTTAACTTATTTTCCTTAGCCTTAGAAATTTTATGATTATTTTATATGGTTCTTTAAAAGTAGTATTATGAATTTCAACCACCAAATTTAAGATTCCTGACCCTGAGTTCTACCTGGAAGAACCACTCCACTTCCCACAGAAGTCCCTTCTTCAGAATTCTTCTGTAGTGAAGACCCACTGGTAAAGCCTCTATCAGCTCAGTTTGTCTGAAATGTTTTCACTTTATCTTTTCTTATGAACTGACTGGTGTCCCCCATATTCCTATGTCACCCCCAATGTGACTGTCTGGAGATAGCATCTTTATGGTAAATGAAGGTTAAGTGAGGTGCTAAGCTCAGTCCTTCATGTTGGTCTTGAGGTCCCTCCCTGGACAGTTGCTATAGACTCTAACCTGGCCCTGATGGAGCTCTGGGGCATTTGGTAGTAGTGACCCTTTATGGTGTTCCTGTCAATGGATACTTCATCCTAGCTGATGGCCTAATGCCCAAGTGTCCAACATGTGAGCAGGTGCCTCTCCCACAGAAAACTTCTTTATCCTGACAGATGTCCATGAGGCTCTTGTCTGACCTGAGTCCAATCTATTCCTATCAAGATAGCCACTCTCCAAGAGAACCCAGACTGGTGAAGAGGGTGTGTCAGTCAGGTGAGACACAGGAGACAACTCAACAAAAGAGGTGCTATAACAAGTCCCAGATCCTGGAGACAAGAGGCAAGCACACCTCACAAGCCATTGGGAAACAGAGGGAGCCATCAGGGATGAGCAGGCACACCCAGCAGGTAAGAGACAGAAAGCAAGGGACCTGTGGACTGAATCCTTCTTTGTGGTCCAGGGCATTACCCAGGGAAATTTCCCATGGAGAATTCTAACTAGTGGCTTAGGAGCAAGAAGGCACAAGTTACGAGAGTGGGGGGTGACACTGTGACTGGGAGGTAGTCACTGCAGGAAATGGGAGGTATGGGGTCAAACAAGTAGTTTGCATCAAGTAGTTTGCATAGGGAGGTGTCCCCACCAGGTGATTTTTAAAGGCAGATATCTGAATGAACCACAGTGTAGAACTGGGAGGAGGTGGAAAACTGGAAAGTGTGTCAAGGGTAACTAAGCACCACTTCTGGTATGAGAAAGCTTTACTTATATTCAACAAGGATGCCAAGGAAGCATACAATTCTAAGAATTCACTCCATGAGGTTGTATGGATGGGGCCCTAATCCAGTAGAACTGATGTTGATGTTATAATAAGAACAATAAATCAATCTCCCTCTCCCTCCCCAACCCCCTTTCTCTCTGTCTCTCTGTGTCTCCCTCTCTCTCTCCCTCTCTGTCTGCCCTCAACCCCAATTGATCCCTTTGGATTTCTATCACATCTAACATCTATTTCACATTTTCCATCCATGTTTTTCCTTTCTTGGATGAAACTGAAAATTTTCTTACATTCTTGCTCCCAATTCACTAATTCTTTCTCTGCCTCTGTCCAGCCTGGCTTTAAATATGCTCTTCATTTTTATTATAATTATTCTAGTTTTTATTTTAAGAGTTCTATAAAAATATTTATCTTTTTTACTCATATTGGTAAAAACCTCTTTTTGATTAAGTCAGTATGTTTAAAGATACTAATTTCATATGCTTTTCCAGTTGATCTACTATCTGGGGTTTTTGTATTTGGGTTCTTCTGACCTTTTTCTGCTGTTTCTCACTCTTGCTATGTTGTTACTGGTGTGTTACATGATTTCTGAATGTCTGCAGCTCTTTTTCCTTCTTATGTTCTCTGCAGAAAATTTTCTGCGATCTGAGAAAAATGTCAGTTTCTCTAGAAATCACAGTTGATGTGTTCAGGTGATCTGGAAGTATATGAGGCTAGGCACACAACCTGGTCCTAGAGAAGTGTGTGTGTGTGTGTGTGTGTGTGTAGCTGGGGATTGAACCCAGGGCCTTGTGCATGCAAGGCAAGCACTCTACCAACTGAGCTATATCCCTAGAGAATTTTTGAGCCACCCATATAGTGTCAAGTCAGGCTAGAAACCAGAGTGAAGACAGTGTATGGCTATTAGTTCTTAGTGGACGCTTCCCCTACCCTTACACTTACAAATTTTGTAATGGTTCTCTTCTTGTGCTCTTTGGTCCTGGGGATTTCTTGTTGAATCACATCAGTCTGAGGATAAAGTCCTTTGAGACCCCAGTTTTTTGGAGACTCTCCTGATTGCCATTTTGGACAAACCTTGGGCTCTGTCATCTTTCCTTTGTAAGGCTACAAAACAAATGTTAAAGAATTAACCAGAAACCAGTATATGTGATAACATTGCATAAAATAAATACATACAAATGAATGCAATAGGAGCTAGAGATATAGCCTCAGTGGTGGAGCACTTGCCCAGCATGCACGAGGCCCTGAGGTTAATCCCCAGCACTGCAAAAAACAATAAAACAAAAACAAGACACACACACACAATTGAGGACAATAATACTGAGAAAATCTAAATAAGAATGTTGATATTAATGTTAATATCCCAATAATGTACCCCATTTGACAAGATGGTTACATTGGTAGAAACTAAGTACAGGATATAAGGGATCTCTGTATTACCCCTTACAAAACTGCATAATGTACAATTAAATCAATAAAAATTTCCAAAAAAGGTAACTGAAAAGAGAGCATGTGAAATATCATCTCATTCATGTAATGCGTATTTATTTGTGCATTGCACAGAGAACTGTACGAGAGGACAGTCACCAAAATGTCACCAGTTTTTAATGCATGTGGCCATTCTTGGGGTAACTAATCTCCTCTGAATCATTCCTCATTCTGGGTCCCATCACTGCTTCTCACATTTCCTGTGGCTGAGCTGCAGGCTCTCCCTCAGCACACTGCCAGGACCCTCAGTAGCTCTCAGGTGGGACAGATGAAGGAGAGGAGCAAGTTCACTTCATTGCTTACAATGAGCTTCCTTGGGTGGATGTTGTCGGGCAGGGCCAGGCTAGAGGTCATTTCCCAAGCGTCCACAAAGGCCACACGGAGCCCAGCAAACGCAGCTCTCAGGAGCCGGTTCACTTGCAGGGTGAACCAGTCGCTGCCATACACAGACTTATAGCCAGTGTTGGCCAGTTTGATGACCACAAGGGTACTGGGTTCCCGCTCCAGCAGGGCCATCACAGCTGCCCGAATCCCTGCCAGTCGTCTTGCAAAGATGGATGGAGGGAAGGTGGTGAAGTGGGCTCCCAGGCCCAGCACCACCACGGTGTGGGGGCCCCCGGCCAGGCCCTCCAGTTCCTTGGCCACAGAGTGTAGGGAGGCCACTGGTGTGCGTTGGGAGCGCAGGGGCCAGCTGTGGGCTCGCCAGTGCAGCACTATACCCCGAGTGGTCTCCACGGCCATCAGGGGCCTCACCTGATATGTGGAATGTAGATCCACTGGTTTCAGGGCTGTTGGGAGGATGAGAGAGAAGTTTCCATAAGTTAACATATAACCGTGCGCCATATTATTTTACAAATAAAACTTCTAGCTCCCGCCTGCTTGCTTTATCAGACATAAGAATTCTGTTCCTCAATTCCAAAAGCTCTCCCTAACAGTACCAACACTCTCTATGGCATTTGACTTTCCTCTGCTGGCCAACCTCTTCCAGAAATGTTCTTCCCTTTTTCCTTCTGTAATAATATCCTGTCCCCTTGTTTCTACCTTTCTGGTCAATCCTTGTCCCTAATTATTGGCTTCTTATTTTCCCTGCACTTTATAAATAAAAGAATTCCCTAAATTCTATCCCTAGAATCAAATTTTATTTTTCTTTTAATCTATAATATGTTTTATTTACTATCTCTACTTTTAACATACTTTGTGCACTTCTAAACATCTAGAAAAACCAGATGTTTCAAATGAGGACTTATATTTATTCACAATGTACACAGTAGTGTTGTTGAATAAATGATAGACAGGTAGCAATATTTATATCTGAAAGCATCTAAATAAGATCATGCTGGCCTAGAATCTTTCTTTCTTTCATTTCTTCTCTCCTATGTCACAAGTGACAGAGGCACAAGTGTCACTCAGATGTAATGTTACAATTTCACTTCCTAAAGTTCTTTTCAGAGGACTCCCTTTCTATGAATTTTAACACAAAGTATACAAAAATGCATTCGCTTACTAACTCTACTTTTGTGACACATTGTCAATCTCTGCATATCCAGAGACTAGATATTATAAAACTAGGACTCCTTTGTTCAGTACATACATAATATATTCAGTACAGCAAAGTTAAATGAAATGCATGTTATAGGGCAGTGGTAAACTGGGATTTTCAAGCACTAGCTAACAAAACACCTTTTGTAACTTCTTCCCTCCCACCTCCCTCAACCCAGTGAATAAGTACTGACAAGATACCATTCAGAGGTGGTTTAAGAATTCCAAACACAGTATTTCCTACCAGTTTTTAAAAGCTATTTACCAGGCTGGGATTGTAGCTCAGTGGAAGAGTGCTTGTCTAGCAAGCGTGAGGCCCTGGGTTTGATCCTCAGCATCACATAAAGATAAATAATCAAAATAAAGGTAACATGTCCATCTAAAACTTAAAAATATATATATTTTTAAAAAAGCTATTTACAAAAAGTTTTATTTTAACTTCTACTTTAAAACATATCAAGCACTATTAAAGATATAGAAGGATTAGATATTCCACATAAGAATGTTTCCACTATGCACACATCAGTGTAAATAAATTGCATACGTAGTAATGGTTATAATTTGATGTATCTTCTAGTATGACCATATCGTTCCTGACCCTTTCCCTCCTCCCTTTTTTCTGTCTACTCCCAGTTCAGTGGACAAGTACATGCATATGTAATGCTTAGAGATGGTTGAACAAATCATACCCAGCAGTCATTTACTGAAGTCAAGTTTTCCCATGAATTTAAACACAAAATGTAACAAACATGCTAATTTTACTACTTCTTCATGCACTGGAGACCTCTTTAATATCTAAAACTAAATATTGCAAAATTGGGACTCATTTGCCCATTATACACACTACATACACAGCAAAACCAAATGCACCATACATACAGGAATCTGATGCCTGAAAATGTCCAGGTATAAACACACTAACCTATTACCGTTTGCACTCATTTCCCTCCCACCTCCTCCACATCACTGAACAAGGACGGTACTATACTGCTCACACAGGTGGCTTAACAGCTCCATTCCCAAAAGACTATATTCCATATGAATTTTGGCAAAAAGATATTTACAAAATGATATTTTACTTCTAAAATACCTAGACAGACTAGATATTTCAGGTAAGGACTCAACGTGTCCACTATGTACAGGACAGTGTTGCATAAACTACACATACGAAACAATAGTTCTACCTTGAAGATGTCTTCAAAATAGGAGCACCCTTCACTAATCCTTATCAGAAGACATTCTTTCCTAGAAATTTTAACATAGAAACATACAACATTTGTTCACTAATTCTACTTTTGGCACACACTGCCAAGCACTTTAACATCTAGAAAGACTAGATATTGATTAGGACTTGTTTGCCCTTTAAATACAGTATGTACACGGCAAAGTAAAACAAAACTGCGCAGATATAAGGATACTCTTGCCTCATTAGGCACACTGGCATGATGCTCTGGAGAACCAGCATGCCATGTGTATTACCCAACAGGGGTTTGGCTATTGCCCCCCAAAACATTTCATAAGAATTTTAACAAAGGAATTTATAAAATGTATTATATTTTGCTACTTCTACTTTTAACATATATCAAGCACTTTAGAACATCTAGGACTAGATATTTCAAAAAAAAGTACTTAGCTTTGTCAACTGTATATACAGAATGAGGAATAAAAGACAAAACAATGGTTATAATAGGAAAAATATCTTTTACACATAACCAGTCTGGCACAGGACCTTCTTCTCAAGGTCACAGTCTTCTCCATGTCCTCTAACCTACTGAACAAATGTGGTCAAGTATCGCTCCTAGAGGTGTGACAGTCACTTCCAGAAGACACTTCTTGTTTGATATTTTTAAAACAAATGGGCATTTCAAGACGTTATTTTCTGCCTCATAGCTCCGCAACCTCTACAACTAGAATGTCCAGATGTAGCAAAGGTTTTCAAAGGTTGGGGAGAAACTTGATTTTTAAATTTTGTTTTTTAATTGTAAGTGGACTCAATGACTTTATTTTGTTTATTTGTTTTCATGTGGTCTGAGGCTCGAACCCAGTGCCTCACACATGCGAAGCAAACCCAGGTCTTCTACAAACAGCTTTTGCAAAGGGCAGCGGCCACCTCCTATTGGTCACGTGCATGTGCTCTTCTGCCTTTTCTCTCTTTGGAAGAATGAAGATCACCACCCGAGGGCCAAGGGCCAGTCCACCCGCGTCCTCTGGGCTTCGCTCACCTTCCAGGGCAGGTAATGCTGTCGTGCGCCTTTTCCGGATGGGGTGAGGGCCCTTGGACCCGCGCATGAAACAGCGCAAAGGGCCCTGACCTCCTGCTCCGCTGTCCATTGTGGGGCCACGCTCTCCTGTGCTCTCCTTCCCGGCCCTCCAAGACCCTGAGGGCCCTCCAAGACCCTGAGGGCCTTGCCTGCCTCGCAAGGACGCCAGGGGGTCATCCAGCAGCAGGGAGAGGCTCGCTTTCCTTCCCAGCCTGGGCCCCTCCAGGGCAGTCTCAGGGTGTCTGCAGGGCAGAGGCCACAGCCTGTCCCCCAACACAAAACAGCCGCACTCACTTTACCATTGACCTTCCCTGGGGATTCGTGGCCACCTCTTCAGATTTTGTCTAAGATCCGATCCTTAGTAAGCTTCTATTTCAGGTGCCCAATCAACATTTTCAAAATTTGCTTTGTTGCCTTGAATGCAATATGGATAAAGGGAATCTAGCATCTCCGCACAAATCTTAGTTATACATGGACACAATATCTTTATTTTGTTTATCTATTTTTATGTGGTGCTGAGGATCAAACCCAGTGCCTCACATGTGCGAGGCAAGCTATCTGCCACTGAGCCACAACCCTAGCCCAATTCCAGCCCTTTTTATGTTATATTTGGAGACAGGGTCTCACATATTTGCATAGGACCTCTTGATCCTCCTGCCTCAATCCCCTAATCTCTGGAATTACAGGTGTACCCCTAGGTCAGATTTCCAATGTTTTATCAGTTGAGGACACTTTTCTGCATGATGAATATGCTAATTATCTCATTTATGAAGGTTGTCCCATGAGTGTAAATGTATGTCAAAATTTAAATATCTGCCACTCATGGTTTGTCAGTTAGACCTCAACTAGCTGTTTTGTTGTGTTTTCTGTGGTGCTGGGGACTGAACCCAGGGCTTCCCGCAAGCTGGGCAAGTACTCTACCACTGAGCTGTATTCCCTGCCCCTTCTCAATTTTAAATTATTTTGAGACAGGATCTCGCTAGATTGCCCAGCCTGGCCTTGAACTTATTATCCTCTTGCTTCAGTCTCCCTAGTACCTGGAATCACAGGTGTGTGCCACTGTGCCCAGACCAATTGACTGTTTAAAATAAAAGGGAACTTCAAATTGTACATGGTGACTACAATGACAACGTGGCTAATTTCTAAACTTTGCAGGATACCAAGAAAGTGCCTGAGCTTCCTTTCTGAGATTGGCTATAGTATTAGGTGGACTTTCCTCAAAACCAAGGTAAACAAGTGCTATAATTAGCCTGATGACTATTTTGTGATCAAATTTATAAGAATTACGGCTACTGAACAGTGGTCCCAGTACGACAGACATTCTGGCTAGCTTTTCTATTATATCTTCCTATTTCTCAGACATCTGAAGGACTGTAAATCAAAACGTGTGTGTGTGTGTGTGTGTGTGTGTGTGTGTGTCTGTGTGTGTGTGATGCCGGGAATAGAACTTCGGGCCCTGCACATACTAGGAAAGTGCTCTGCCACTCAGTTAGAATCTCAGGCCCTGCGATTTATAATATATCTGAAGTAGGTACTGGTTGCTTGGAACAGAACAGAATTTCACTCAAAATCACTGCTAAAGATGCTGAGTATTTGCTTTTGTTTTCAAAAATGGCAGGAAGGTATTCAGAAGTCCTGTGATATTGTTTTCTATTAATCTTGACTATTTAGAACAATGGAAGGTTTGGGATTGGGTTGCTCTAATTTTGGAGAGGACAAGACACATTCAGTGAAGTGACTGCCTCCTTATGTGCTAAGGGAACCACTATCTCGACCAAGTGACTGCTCAAGATCAGCAAAGAATCCAACAACAGCAAGAAAAAAAAATTGAGGTGCAGGGTGGTGGGTGAGATAAAATTTTGAACTTTGTGGCCGGGCTGGGTGGCCCATGCCTATAATCCCAGTAGTTTGTGAGGCTAAGGAAAGAGGTTCTCAAGTTCAAAGCCAGCCTCAGCAAAAGCGAGGTGCAAAGGAACTCAGTGAGACCCTGTCTCTCAATAAAATACAAAATAGGACTGGCAATGTGGCTCAGTGGTTGAGTTCCTCTGAGTTCAAACCCCAGTACTCCTCCCAGCAAATGTGTGAACTTTGTGTTTTTGTCACTTCAATAATCTTTGAGAAACTCACTGAAGATTTTACTTGGAAATTAAATGAGGACTCTTGGAATCACCACATGCTGTTATTTGAAAGGTTGGTGCTCTCATTTGAGCTCCATGGTAACTAAACCAGGAAGGCAGTCCAATGATAACTCTGCCTTCCTCATTCACTCGCCTTTCAGGAGCACCCAGCATCCTGCCCACCTCTCCACTAAGCACCACAGTTTCCTTCAAATCCCTCTCTGGTCACCTGTTTCTTCATGAGTCCCCATGTGTCACTCACAGGGCACTGTGTCACGTAGATATTCCCACCATTGCCGAAGCGTGGAGTCCCCCATCATGTGCACGATGTGGCCAGCCAGGCAGCCCAGGATGCTGTCAACAGTGGGGAAGGACTGGCCAGAGCAGGACAGGGAATGCCATACATCTTGGTGGTAGAAGCCAGAGGGCTTTGGGGCCAGAAGGCCAGGGCGGCACTTGGTCTGTGGGGATAGCACTATAGGAAGGAGAAAAGCAGAACAGAATAAAAAACAAAAAGAACCAACATTAACATCTAGAAGATGTCAGGTGCTCTTCTGTGTGCTTTACGTGTATCTTTTTCATTTACTCTTTGACAAAACCTATGACATACCATTCTTATATCTGGTGAGAGTAGGAACACTAGGACATGAAATGTTAAGCAATATGTGATCAAGATCAATGATTGGCAGTTCAAAAAATAATGAACAGAACTCCTATGTGATGCAACAATACCACTCCTGGGTATATACTAAAAGGAAGTGAAATCAGGATCTCAAAAAGATTATCCACAGTTTCACATTCATTGGAGCATTATTCACAATATCTAAGACACGGAAATAACTGAGTGTCTAGCAATGGATCAATGAGTAAAGAAAACAGGACACACATACAGAGTAATATTATCCATTCTTAAGAAAGGACATTCTGCTTTTTAGGACAACATGGATGAACTTGAAGGGCATTATACTAAGGGAAATAAGCCAGACAGTTGGGCCTGGTGGTGCTCACCTGTAAACCTAGCAACTTGGGAGGATGAGATAGGTGGCTTGCAAGATCGAGGCCAGCCTCGGCAATTTAGCAAGACCCTAAGTAGTTTAGTAAGACCCTGTTTCAAATTTTTAAAAAATAATAATAAAAGGGTTGGGGATGGAGCTCAGTGAAAAATGCCCCTTGGCTGAATTCCCTGTGTCCCCCGACACACACAAAAACAAAGAAGCCAGGCAGAGAAAGACAAATACCATATGATATCACCTATATGGAACCTAAAAATGAATTTTAAAAATAGAGTAGAATGAAGGTTGCCAGCGACTTGGGGAAAGGGCAAAATGGAAGATTTGGTTCAAAACGTACCAACTTGCATTTATAAGATCAATACATTCTAATGTATAGCATGGTGACAGTAAATCATAATTATCTATATTATATACTTGAAATTTGCTAAGAGATTAAGTGTCATGTTGTCCTTATCACTCTAAAAAAATAATAAAAATAAAACAACCAGGTAAACTATGTGAGACAATGGATGGGCCAACTAACTCAATTGTGGGTGATTGCTTCTTAACCTGTACCTATACGACATCATCACATTGTATGCTTTAAAAACATGCATTTCATTAGTCAATTATTCCTTGGTATAGCTAGGAAAATGAAAGAACAAAAAGAAAAGGAATGAAACCCTGCCATTTGTGAAAACGTGGTTGATCTCCAGAGATGTTGTGCTAAGTGAAATACGCCAAAGAAGGTCAAAGACCACTGGCTTCAATGACACAAGGGATCTAAACTATGAGACTCAAGAGGCAGACTGCAGAATGATGGTTGCCATGGGCGTAGGTGAAGAGAAAGCAGGAAGATGATGAAGAAAAGAGACAAAGTTTCAGTTTTACAGGATGAATAAGTCCAAGAGATCTACTCTACAACCCCGAGTCTGTAGTGAACAATACTGTATTGCAGAATGAAAATTTGCTGGGAGGGAAAAATCTTATGCCAAGTGTTACATACACCATAACAGTAATAATAAACACAAGTGGCAGGAGGAAATTTTGGAAGGTAATGAATATATTTTTTAACGTGTATAGAGTATTTAATTAAAATATGCCTGGCTTGGTGGCACACGCCTATAATCCCAGCAGCTCTGGAGGAAGATCCCGAGGGAGGAGGATCTCAAGTGCAAAGCCAGACTTAGCAACAGCAAGGCGCTATGTAACTCAGTGAGACCCTGTCTCTAAATAAAATACAAAATAGGACTGGGGAAGTGGCTCAGTGGTTAAGTGCCCCTGAGTTCAATCCCCAAGACCAAATAAATATATAAATAAATAAAATTTTTTAAAATATATCATATTTTCAGGAGGGTATTAAAGCATATATTTTCCTTTACTATAGAACATCTCTAGATAAACAGGGCATGAAATGGCACTCGATTCCCTGCCCCATTATAGTAATCTATATAGAACAATAGATGGAAAACACATCCTCAGTGTTCTTATATTCCTAAAATTGCAGAATAAAAATTGAGCTCCTCGGTCACAAAGTAAGATTTTAAAGTCCAATTTACTCTTGATCTTCTCTTCATCAGTCCCATCACAATCTTAAAGTATAATTGCTAGAAGTCGAATATGTTTATGGTACAGATTGTGTTGATGGTTTCATGGGGTGTGTTTATGGCCAAAGGCATCTAGTTGTACACAGCATTTAGTATGTCAATCCATACCTCAATGAAGTGGTTTGAAATCAGAAAAACAGTGACTGGCAGGGATAGCATGTGAATCCAAGAAGCCTGGTGTCACAGTCCGTTCTGCTGACCCCTGTACTCCACCGCCCTGGAAGGGAGAGGCTAGCCTCTCGGTCAAGGAACAAAACCCATATAGGTCCATCATCACCCTCCACTCCCAGCATGACTCAGCCCCACTCACCCCGACTGATGTTTTCTGTGGTTGCTGGTCTGATCAGAATTGGAGCAACACCCTGAGGTAGCAGCTTGTCAGTCACCTTCCTGGAGAAACAGGGAGAGAGAGCTTTGTGGAGGGCCACCTGGTGAAATCTGGAGTTGCTAAAGGGATTTGATGATTGACTTGTCATTTCCCCTCTAATTCAAAAAAGGAATGAGAACATTCCAGTATAATTAGCACATTTATAATTTGGGACCATTATCAGGAGTCTCGGGGAGGGACTTTCTGCATTTCATCTACTCATTGGACTCTTGGCTTACTAATAGTCAAGGTGAGGAAAGACAACCAAGCCAGATCACAGAGTTTTCTTTTTCTATAAATGGAAATACACAGAATGCCAGGGATCACTTCCTGGCACTAAATTCTGGAAGGACAAAATCATTTCCTGGCACTAAATTCTGGAAGGACAGGGAGCAGAAGAATTTTTCATTGTTGTTACATGAACACTCAGACATTGGGGTCATACCTCTCCACTCTTTGAGTTGGGTTGTGCCTACTGATTTCCAAAGTTCAAAGGAGGTGGGGGGTTTGCTTTACAGTGCAGAAACCTAACAAAAATCCCCTTGGCCAGGCAAACAAGGTTAACACCAATGGGCACAAACCACATTCATACTGTGTACCTGTGATGTCACCTGATGGAAATATAATTTACCTCCACAATCTTCCTTCCTAAAATACACAATCCCAGTCTGATCATAAGCAAGAGACATCAGATATATTTCCATAGAGGGGAATCCCACAAGATAATTGATCAGCAAATAGTTTGGCAGTTTCTTGTAAAACTAAACATCTACCAATTGCACAACCAAGAAACTGCACTCAGGCATTTTGTTCCACAGATATGACAAAAGAATCTTTTTTTTTAACAAAAGAACCTGTATATAAATATTCATAGAAGCTTTATTATGATAGTTAAAATCTGGAAACACCCCAATGTCCTTCAATGGGCAAATGGCTAAACAAACGTACACAGTGGCAAGAAAAAGGAATGAATTATCAATAGATGCAACAGCATGGATGGGTCTAGAGAACTTTGTGTTTGTGGAAAAAAATCTCAAATGACTGCATTACTGTCTGATTCCACTAATAGAACCATCTAGAAATGACAAAACTGTAGAGATAGAGAACAGAAAAGAGTTACCAGGTGATAAGAACAGGCACTGGGGAGTGGGAGAGCCTAGAAGGGAGAGCAGAAGGGTTTCCTTTTGGTGGAGAACATTTCTGAATCTTGATTGTAATGGTGGTTACACCAATCTATACGTATTGTGAATTTGTAGAGAAACACACACACACACACACACACACACA